AGATCTTTGAACATCAAGGTGACTAACCTCTGAAACGTCGCACCTGCATTTTTCAGTCCAAAAGGCATAACAATATAACAATACGTACCTGTTTCAGTGATGAAGGCCGTGCTTTCTTGGTCATCGGGATGAAGCTGTATTTGATGATATCCACTGAATGCGTCCATGAAGGATAACATTTCATGCCCTGCCGTAGCGTCAGCCAAAGCGTCAATGTGTGGCATCGAAAATGAATCTTTGGGACATGCTTTGTTCAGGTCAGTGAAGTCCACACAGACTCTCCATTTGATTGGCTTGCCTTCTTCCTGCCCTTTCTTTTTCTGAACAACAACAACATTAGCTAACCAATCGGGATACTTTACCTCCTTTACCTTACCGGTTCGAAGCAGCGTATCAACTTCCTGGTTTATAATGGCATTCCTTTCTTTTGCAAAGCGTCTTCTTTTTTGTCTGACGGGTTTGTGTAATGGGCTGACATTTAACCTGTGAGTTATGATATTAGGATCAATACTTGTCATGTCGTCATGACTCCATGCAAACACGTCCTTATGTTCTTTGAGGAAGTTTATCAATTCGTCTTTGAGGTGCTTTGGTATGTCTTTCCCGATGCGGATGACCCTTTCTGGATGTTCAAGGTCGATGGCGACTTCTTCTGTTTTGGCGCCATCTTCCACCAGAGCGGGGCCACCCTGTAATTGCTATGCGATCCTGGAGGCAGTTTGGTCCGCAGTTGGCTTCATCGCCGTTTGGTAGCAGGATTTGGCTGACTGTCGATCCCCCCTGATGCTTTGTACTCCCCACGGCGTTGGGAACTTGATTATTTGATGATAAGTCGATGGAATTGCCCCCATTTGATGCAACCAGGGAGTTCCCAAGATCATGTTGTATGCTGGTATGCTTTCGACTACGTCGAATTTGACCTGCATGTTTAGACCATGGGTATATACGGGTAACGCAATATTACCTACGGTTTTGCTCGGCTCTCCATTGAATCCAACCAAGCTTGACCCGGACCCTGTTATATCTTCCTCCTTGGCCCCCAGTTCTTTCAACGTTTTCATGGTGGTAATATTCGCGGTGCTCCCGTTGTCCACGAGGACTCGTTTGACTTCGCAGTTTGCCACTCTAAGGGAGACCACCAACGTATCGTGATGAGATTGTATCGGATCAGAAATGTCCGTTTCGTCAAATGTGATTGACGTATTTCTCCATTCCTCTTGACGTTTTCTGATCCTGTAAACCTGCAACGACTTGTCTCGGGTGTAATCCCGGCCGTGTCTTTTTGCTGCAGAATATGTTAGTCCACATAAATCAGATCCACCGTTAATAAAGTTGATTACCTTACATGGCGCAGAGGGTGAAGGCGGCCTGGACTCATTTGGTGACGCTTTATCGTTCGTCCTAACAGTGATTTGGTGCGTTCAGACATGATCTCCGTCAGATAACCGTTTTTCAGCAAATAGGCCACTTCCTTCCTTAACGCGACGCAATCTTCCGTGTAATGTCCGATATCGCCGTGGAAATCACAACGTCTATTCGGGTCCCGACGGCCCGCTGGTTTGTCCGTCCTTCGAGGCCATCTGACCTTTTCCCCTAATTTTTCCAGAGAGTGAATGAGGCCCGAAGTGGCAACATTGAAACAATAGTCATTGATGACAGGTGGTAAATCTGGATCGTCGAGCCAATTTACTATCGACGATACCGGTCTATCCTCGGTTCTGACATAGGGTTTTCCGGTTCTGTAATCGTGTTTTCTGGATGTGCTCGATTTACGTTGCCCTCCATCATATGCATCCTGTTGATGTCGTGTCTGTTGATCTTCTTCTAGCCTGATGAAGGCCAAGGTTTTAGCCTGGACGTCTTCAAAGGTCCTGCACGGGTATTTTGTCAATTCCCGGTATAATTCTGAGTCGTCGGACAAGCCTCTCCGAAACGCTTCAACTGCTGTCGGGATATCGCACCGTGGAATGGAAACTTTTTCTTTGTTAAAGCGGTGTAGGTAGTCCCGTAAAGATTCGCCTCGTCGCTGTATGATTCTGTAAAGGTCGCTAGTTTGCTTTTCAAGTATTCGACAACTCGCGAACTGATGATTGAATGAATCGACCAGCTCTGCAAATGACCCGATACCCTCATTAGGCAGATTGACAAACCATTTGAGCGTTGGGCCAGCTAACGTTGCCCCAAAGCCGCGACACATGCATGCTTCCCTTTGATCCGGTCGGAGCTATTCGGCAAGCATTCACTGTTTGTATTGGGCGACATGTTCCACCGGGTCAGATGTGCCGTCGATCATTTTCATAGACGGAACGTTGAATTTGCGCGACACCTCGACATCGGTGATCTGTCTGCTGAAGGGCGAGTCCGCATAACACGTCTTTGAGGCTCGATCCAACGGAAGGGGTACTCCGGGCAGCCCGTTGATCTTATCCTGCATCTGTCGGAGTTGCTCCATAATCATTGCTATCGGATTCACCTGGACTGGCTGAATGGATTCAGGCGCCGAGACTGTCAATCCTGCCATCGGGGTTGCTTCGGGACGGGTCGGTGACGGAATGATTATGACCTCAGGGTGTCACCCTCTGCAACTATGCCCTGCTGAAGCGGCTGGTCTACGCTGCCGTTGTGCCTGAAACATGGGTGGCAACTCGTCGAATATACTCCGGGTCTTCTCCTGCATGAGACCAGACGGTACGGGTTCGTCACGAGTTCTGCTTTGGTAATGAGTGACATACGGCTCCGTCGGGGCTAGCGCGCCTGACGTCATGGGTAGGCTTTGAGTGGCCGCCTGCAATCCCATCCTTCTTGATCCAGGGCGCAACGACTCCGGGAAGAAGCAGGTCGGAATGCTTGGGATAGGGGTCGTTTCAGGGACGAGTGGCGTGTACGGTATCACTTGAGAGATGACGGTGGTTTGTGACTCCCCGGCCGGTGAGAGGCCCAATGTGAGGGATATGGGCTCGGAAGCGATGGTGGGTGTGTCCGCTGCCGTCGGAGTGGATTCCAAATCTAGCCTCGTGATCACGGGCATGAGATCGTTCCTTCGATTGCCCCTAGAGTTGGATGCGATTGAGACTGCTGACTGAACTTGGGATCGTAATAGATCGTTCTCTCGTTAGAGATGTGCCACCCTTTCCGCCAATTCCCGGCGAAACTCTGTTCGAACTGCCTCCATTTGAGCGTGGATTTCCTCCAACAAAGGGCTGTTTCCGGTCATGGTTGATGATCTTTCCTTGCACGAGGCCCCACGGTGGGCGCCAAATTGTTTAAGCAAGAATTAAACTAATCTAAAATTATATGTATGTAGGGGTCGTACAAGAAACAAAATATAAAAGCTGAAAATTAATGAATGAAGTGTATTAATCTGAGTATATGAATGAAGGAATGATGCTACAAATGCATAGATAATCAAGCCAGATTGATCGTCCCCCTCCTTTGTAAGTTTTCCTCTATTTATACAACAATAGTACTCTATTCAAATGGTTCAACTGTCCGCCGGAAATGTCGCCGAATCCTAGGCTCCGTCATTCGGTTGAATAATCCTACTAAGTCTATCCTTATCCGATCCGTTTGTCTTTTGTTTAGTTGGAATTCGCCTCTTAGGGATGGGCCGATCTATTTGCACTTCCGTGGCCCAACAGTGCCCTTCGTTGATTTCCAACACTTAGTGTTGTCCTTTTTGCTTCTATATATTTTCATCTTTATTACTGTATAATTTGGTTTTAAAATTCAACTCCTTTTTCGTAAAAACCAATAGTAATGCGGCGTACAATCATGAGTCATGACGAGAATGAAACATCATGTGGTGTTGACTAAAATGATAAGGAATAGGGAGAACTGTTTACATAAATCACAAAAAGAAAAAAAAAAAACAGAAAAAGAGTTGGTGCAATTAACTACGATGAGATTGAAGGTCCCAAGCGATGAGTAAGCACGTGAACTTCTCATACTAATTCTGTCCCAATAAACTTTGCATATCTTTGAAGAGTAAATTCCATAAATAGGAGTAAAAAGATTTTAAAATTCCATAATAGAACTATCATGTTTTTTATTCCCTAAATAGGAGTAAATTTCTGTCAAGTTTGGCATTAATAGGCTTTTAAACATGTCATTTTTTTCAAACTTGGCAGATTACTCCTATTCAAGGAATAAAAAACATGATACTCCTATTTTGGAATTTTAAAACGTTTTTACTCCTATTTAGGGCAATATCTAATCTTTGAATTGGGTGAGAAAAAAAAATTATTCCCTTCGTCCCGCTAACAATGAGACAATAGGGAGTGACACGCAAATTAATAAAAAGTGGTTTATATGGTTGATATTGAATTGATAAAGTAAGAATAAAGTAAGAATGATTTAGAGCCACACAAACTTTACTAAATTTGGTATGTGACAATCTTAGTGGGACGGACCGATAAGGTAAAATGAAACAATCATAGCGGGACGAAGATAGTATATGATTAAAGTTTGTGCAAAGAAGAGAAAAATGAACAAAACCACAAAATAGCTACTTTAGGGAGAAGTGACAAAGTTTTTTGATACATCCCAAAAAGAAAAGTTAACAAAGTCTAATGAGACGAAGAAAGTACTTCATACCTCATATGATCATACCTCATACCTTAGATCCCTCAACACCAACCTCACATTTAATTGAGATTATATAAATTGAATTTTGATCACGAACTGACAAATAATGAATGAGGCTTTAGTACCAGCACAAGTAGCTCAGTTGGTTCAGTGGTGGGAAATTTGAAACAATGATCATGGTTCGAAACCTGTAGCAGTCGTGTGGAGGTTACAGCTCCTGCGTGCTGGGCTGGACCTCTGGTGCACACGAGTATAAGGCATATCATTATTGGGCCGACTGATTCACTGTGATTTACATCCTCCAAACTCCTATCAGGATGTGGGGCTCCTGGAATGGGAGATTCTTCCACCTTTTGGAACGATGAATGAGGCTTTACTCTAGTTACTTATAGAGATGAGAGATCCTATTGCCTCCACTTTCCATGGTGGTCAACAAAGCCAACCTCCAAGTCTCCAACCTCTACATAACTCCTCTCATGTCTTTCTCTAGAGTCTTGATACTAATAGGGTTTGTGTAACGCTACTCTTCATTGTTAGTCCTCTCCTCGATCCTTCTTCCTAGTTTAGACCCTGTTTGGATTGATGGGATTGGTGCGGCATTTGATTCATTTTATCATGCATGTGCAAATGAAAATGGGACAGAGCTTAGAATTTGACTGATGAGACAAGCATTTTAGGTGCCTCCATTTTCCTGGTTCATGTCATATTAGTCTTTCCTATTATAAATCTCCAAGCTTGGCACTTGCTATTTAGATATCCAAAAATTCCCCTAACTCTCTCTCTCTCTTGTTGGGTTTTCAACTTTTCACTCATCCTCTTTATGAAGAGACTATTGCAGTAAAAAGAAGACTGATCATTGGTCTCGATCTATCATGCCCCCCCATGCACATATATGTTTCTAGCAGCACGGCCAGCACCTGAAGTAAAGAAAAGAAAACAAATCTAAAGAAGTGCTACAAATCCTTCAAGCATGAAGTTTATGAAGCTTGGATCCCGCCCTGATACTTTCCACACAACTGAAGCTTTGAGGTAATGAAAGATCCTTTCTTTATATGAAAAGATTCAGATTCTTGGTGGTGTCTCTGTTTTTCTGAGGTTAGTTGAAATAGTTGGTGCTGTTAATGATATGCAGATCAGTCTCCTCTGAAGTTTCAAGTGATCTCATTGTCCAAGTCAAAGGAATCAGATACCTACTACACAAGGTACAATTCTGTCATTAATTAACTAATTAATTCGATCATTAGGCATTAGCAGTTATGGTTTAATTTTAAATTTTAGTAGTTTCATTTAATTTCAAGAATTTCCAATGAAATCTAGTTGACATTTATTAATCACAGTATTCAAGAAACCTTAAATACTCAATTTTTTGGATAAATAAACTATGAAAGGAAATTTAGTTCTGTAAATACCCTTTTCATAACGTTGTTATCATCCTAAATCTGTCATGGTCATACTAAGTTTGGAATTTTGTCCGACCAGTTTCCGTTATTGTCGAAGTGTTTGAGGTTACAGAGAGTATGCTCAGAGCCAGAGAGCCGCCGGGAAACGTCACCGCCGCAACAAATCGTGGATCTCCCGGAAATCCCGGGCGGGCCTGACGCTTTCGAGGTTTGCGCGAAGTTCTGTTACGGCATCACGATCACCGTCAGCGCCTACAATATCGTCTCCGTCCGGTGCGCCGCCGAGTATCTCCAGATGACGGAGGAGGTCGAGAAAGGGAACTTGATATACAAATTGGATGCCTTTTTCAATACCTGCATTCTTCAGGGGTGGAAAGATGCAATTATTACACTCCAGAGCACAAAGGGTTTCCCATCGCTGTCGGAGGAGCTCGCGATTACGGCGCGCTGCGTCGACGCCATAGCTTTGAAGGTTTTGACCCATCCCGGCAAGAAAAATCTGTCGAGAAGCTACTCGACGCGGCGAGACGACGCCGTTCCTTTCTGCGGGTCGAAAGGCTGGTGGGCGGAGGATTTGGCCGAATTGAACGTTGACTTGTACTGGAGGACGATGATCGCCATTAAATCCGGCGGGGGCAGAGTTCCGGCCAGCCTAATCGGCGACGCGCTTAGGGTTTACGCCTCCCATTCCCTCCCGAACATCTCGAAGCCGTTGCCGGAGGATTCGGATTTCTCCAAACACGCCCTAATTTTGGAGTCGATTGTGAGCCTATTGCCCGCAGAAAAGGGCGCGGTTTCCAGCACCTTTCTTCTGAGATTGCTCAAAGCAGCTAACATTCTCAGAGCTTCAAATGCTACAAAAATGGAGCTGGCAAGAAGGGTAGGGATTCAATTGGAAGATGCCAGCGTTTGTGATCTCTTGATCCCATCTGAGCCGTCCAAAGGTGAGACGATCTACGACGTTGATCTAGTGATGACGATGTTAGAGCAGTTCATGTCGCAGGCGCAGCCCAGTCCTCCGACGAGCCCTCCTCGGAGGAGCAGGGGGGGTTTCGAGAGAAGAAGAAGATCAAGGTCGGCCGAGAATGTGGATTTTGAGTTCCAAGAAAGTAGGAGATCTTCCTCTGTTTCACATGCCTCTAAGCTGAAGGTAGCGAAGTTGGTGGATGGCTATCTCCAGCATATTGCGAAAGACCCAAAATTGCAGCTGTCCAAGTTCATAGCCGTTGCTAATTCGGTCCCTGATTTCGCCAGAATCGACCATGATGATATCTACAGAGCTATTGACATCTATCTTAAGGTAACTTTTATTTGGGTCTAGTTGGTGTACGTGAATGTTTATTACTTTTCATCAAACACATAACTTTTCCTTTCGTACGCTCAATTGTGTAACAAGCAGAAAAAGTAAGGTTGGAGTTACTTTTATGGCTGTATTGGCTAAAGTTACTGTAAATGACTATTTTAGACATTTTTACATATAATTTTTTTTTTATTTTATTAATAAAATATAAATATTTTTTTCTTAAATCAGCAGAATCAGCCAATGCAGCCACTTCAGTTAGAATTTTATAAATTTCAACAGAATTAGCCAAATCAACCGATTTCCGTGCAACCAAACGGGCTCTTGGTGTGCATTATCTATTACATATATCTATTACGTAGACAGAGTTGTCCATATAAAAGAAGCATTTGTGTTATCACAACTAGTTTAAAAGAAGCATCTTTCTTTTAGTGACATAAAAATTCAACTAACCATTTCTGTTATTACAACTAGTTTAAAAGAAGCATCTTTCTTTTAGTGACTTAAAAATTCTTACCAAATTAAAATTTAATTATTGGACAAAAACTATCCACTTGATTTGATGTGGTCAAGTTTTGATATAATAAATCGTGGTACTTGGAGACTTTATCTCAGTAGCTTCCAAAAATTCTAAAAAGTTTTAAAACAGTTCCCTTCAGTGTTGTACTCCGTATAAAACATTAAACTAAAACATTTTAGCGAATTTTATAATAGTACAAACATTGCAGTGGCTTGTTTTTGAAATCATGTGTACCTATATTAAGTGATTATTATGTATTCCGTATTGTAGAAGCTGTTGAAGATGTCGCTGATTGACCGAATTTGTTTTATTATTAGAATATATTACCCGAAATAAGACTAAAAAGTTTGAAAATTTCAAAATAGGACTGTCATGTTTTTATTCCCAAAATAGGACTAATCACTGCCATCTTTTGGCAGTACCAGACTTCAAACATGACAGTATTTTCTAAACTTGACGGTAATTATTCTTATTTTGCGGAAAAAATATGACAGTCCTATTTTAAAATTTTCAAACTGTTTTAGTCTTATTTCGGGAACTTTCCTAAATTCAACCAAAATTACCTCATTCGTACCTATGTTGACCTCCATCCCTTAAAACCCCTCAAACGTACGGAGTATTTTTTACCTTCACGTAGTTTCGGGAAATTGGATTCTTTTTTTTAGTCAAAAGAATCCAATGCCCTTTTATAGAAAATATGTACGGAGCATTACTATAGAGTGTACTTTTAAAACTATTTTATATCATTTTCTTTACTATTGTTCCAAAAAAAGGTGGAATCTCCCACCCCAGGAGCCCCACACCCCGACCCGACAGGATGGTGGGGAGGTTAGTCACGGTGACTCAGTCAGCAGAATGATAGTAGGCTCATACATCCGTGCGCATCAGATGCCCAGCCTTATTACAGGTTCTGTGACCTCCACCCGATCGCTGCGGGGATTCGAACCTTCGTCCATTGTTCCAAATCTCCCACCACTCGACCAACTGAGCTACCCGTGCGGGTATCATTTTCTTTACTAAATAAGAAAGGAAGAATTTATTTTGGAACATTGCAGAAAAGAATACAAACTTTGAAACGGGAGGAAAGTTTTATAAATGGTAATGTGTAGAAAAAAGTGTAGTAAACAAATCTCACTTATAAAGGTGATAAGCCAAAAAAGTTAACCAACCAAATGAATACTTTCAAATGGTTGGCCCTTTGGTGCCAATGTAGACCATCTGGCTCCTTTAGCAATAATAGTAGCAATAATAGTACTCTATGATTTTGTACTATTTGTTTTTTGTTTGCTGCTAGCTTGCTCTTTCCAACTAGTATTTGATATAGGTAACTTGGTTGAAGAGTGTCCAAATGTGCTGAATCTAACGAAATTCTGCCCATTGATTTAGCCGAAATACTCAAGAATATATACAGTTATTTAAGTGTCTGTTTGATGAGTGTTTGCGCCCTTTAAAGTGATAGATTTCTTGAAGTTACCTTAATTATGTTGATTAGCCAAATTAATCTCAAAATGTTCTTATAGTAGCTAAAACATAGATCTTACAAATGTCATTCATTTTTATTTTCAGACGTTAACCGTCATTAGTATTAAGATTCTCCATTTCATTTAAAGGGGTGTTTGGAATTGATTCTAATCCTACTTCTTTTTTTAAAATAAAAAACAGTAAGAATATGTTTTTCATAAGTTGTCTCCCCCAGCCTCTAAAAAACAGCTTGTATGAGTGATTTAAGGCACTCAAAAGTCTTTATGTAGTTTCATCCAAACACTTCAATATCTGCTTCTGATTTCTAAAAGAGTAGAAACAATTTTAAGAAGTACGAGTACATCCAAACACCCCAAAATGTTAATCTTGTGTTGTGGAGTACTCTCTATAGGCTACAGCTTTATATGGAAATGTAACATCATATTTGGCTGATATCAGATTACTTAAAAGTTACTCCGTACTTTATTGGTATGATATTAGATTAAATCATACTTCCTCCGTCCCTTAAAACTTTGTCATTTTTCCTTTTTTGAACGTCCCAAAAAATTTTGCCACTTTCCCTTTTAATCAATTATTTTGTGGTTTCTGTTATTTCTCTCTCCTCTGCACAAACCTTAACCACACAGTTTTAACTTTATTATTCTTCGTGCCGGTCAACTTTGACAAAGTTTTAAGGAACGGAGGTAGTACTACGTAATTGTAACACGATTATTGAACATGAAAAAACACAGGGGCACCCAGAACTCAGCAAGACAGATAGAAAACACCTATGCAGGAGTCTGGATTGCAGAAGGTTATCAATGGAAACCTGCATGCATGCAGCACAGAACGAGCTTCTGCCTCTCCGGGTAGTCGTCCAAGTTCTCTTCTTCGAACAAGCACGAGCCGCCATCTCAGGTGGGCACACGGCGGAGCTTCCGAGCAACATCAAGGCCTTGATCGCCAATGTAGCAGCGCCACGAGATGATGACGCAAGCAAGAAGACATCTGCTGCTTCTTTTGCAAATGACAAAATCACACAGAACTCAAATCTTGCAACTCTTAAAATGAAGCTCGCAGAGGAGGACTATGAGTTGGATGGTGTTGCCGGGAAGGATTCAAGTCCAAGAATGCTTTGTGCTCCTCCCAACCGGCCCAAGAAGATGTTAAGCAAGTTGTGGTCCAGCAGGAACTCTTCTAGTCAAAAGAGCTGAAGAAAGTTTTGTTGATTTTCTCAATATAACGTATATCCATAGGCTTGATCTGGTTTTATTTTTTCTCCCATTTCTCTGATCTTCTCCACTCTTAATATGCTCTGTAATTTGTGGTAAATGGTAAATCTTAATGTCTATAGTTCGCGTAACTTATGGTAATAAAGCGCAATAGTATTTTTCTAAGTAAACAAAGCCGGTGTTTGGGATTGTTTCCACCTTAAAAAAGTGGTTTTTTAAAGTGATTTTGGAGAAAGTGTTTAATAGTAAAAGGTGTTAGTGTTTGAGAAAAAAAGTGCTTTTAAAAAAGTAAAAGTTGTTAGTTTTTTATAAAATAAGTCATTTTTGTGTTATACTTCGTATAAAAAATGAAAAACAGTTTAAAGCATTTCCCCACCTACTTTGATCTTTCAGCTTTTAAATGATTAACTTAAGTAGAAGCTGTGATTTGAAAACACATATTTCAGCTTTTTTTAAGTCAAAAGTTGGACGAAATTAAGTGTTTGCAAACACTACGTTAGTCAATGGTATCTTCAAATCTCTAGATTAGTTCATGTAATTGTTCTTAGAGTATACTAGTGTTCTTCTTCACTTCCCCTCTTGATCCTTCATATTCATCAAGCATAAAGTAGAACTTTTCTTTCATCTATGCGGTTACACACTATGTGGAAAGGTTGAGGGAGGGTAGCCTACACAAATCCTCATTACATACGAGGAGAGTCGTTAGATCCACAAATGGTTAGGGCCGGCAATATCACTTGCGCCAGCGGATAGCCGGTCAACCCGAACCGAAAATATGGACGAAAACCCGATAAAAAATATGGATGAAAAATGGATGACGGGTGGATTGAAAGACGGGTTGGATCGGGTGTGCATGAACACTCATCCAACCCATCACCCGACCTGTCACCCGCTCTATCCACCCGCACCCGCTGACCCACATATAATATATATACATGATGGAGTATATGGGTCTGAGCCCCAGGACCCACATACTCAGAAGAACAGAAAGCACAAGACACTGAGTGGTGCCCTCGTCGGCCAAGGGACCCCCGTCGGCCGGAAAGGTACCAACTCAGAATATGGTCCTGAAGCCAAGGAACCCGGGTGTCCACGTCGGCCGTGCCCTCATCGACCGTGCCCTCGTCGGCCACGCCCTTGTCGGCCACGGGAGACCCACAGAACCAGATTTTACACTTACTCATTTGTACAGCCCATTAGTGGATTTGTATTCGGCCCAATAGCGGTCCAGTTGTAAATGGGCCTCCCAAGCCCAAGGCTTGGGAGCCCAGCCCGTATTTTCTCTATAAATACTTCCTCTAGAGGTAGTTATCAGGGTTACAAAATCATTCTATTGAAGCATATATTGCACTTCTCTCTCTAGCTCTCACTTCTCTCTAGAGATATACTCTATCATTTGGTGCACTTCGGCAGTTGTTGGAGGGTAGCGTAGGCCGCACAGTTCTTGTGGCTTCCTCGGCCAATCTGATAGAGGTCCATGAAGAGAGCTGTCGTCGGCTTGTAGCCCAACTCTTCACAGCGGAGCAAGAATCCCACCATCAACGAGTAGCTGTTCGGGGTCAGCAAGGCCGGAGGAAGTCCCACCATGTTCAAGTATTCCGTGATGAAGGGATGAAGGGGAAATCTCAGCCCCTTGGCGAAGCTCATCGGGTACACTCCGAAGTATCCCGGCGGCGGATTAAGTACATGGTCCGTCGGCCTGGGTGCCCTAACTCTCTCGAACGACCCCACATACATCTGCGCGACTAAGTAATCGGCCGCGTTGCTCTCCGGCTTGATAAGGTAGATATTCGTGAGATCCAGGTAGGAGTACCCTGGCCCACTCTTCGGCCTCCTTATCCTCTTCGGCCTCTCTGCTCCCTTCACGGCGGACACCGGCTTCGGGCACGGAATAGCGGTGGAAGTGGACGCCCCGTCCACCACTCGGGACGCACCTGCGTCCTCGCCTTTCGAAGACGAGGCAGACTCCTCGTCCTTACCCTCGTCTTCCTCCGGCTCTCCGGACTTATAGGGGCTCAGATGCTCTATTTCCTCCTCAAACTCCTCAAGCACCTCGTAGTCAAGGGACCTAGTGGAGGGCTGGTCGTCGTAGGGGTAGTACTCCTCGTCCAAACTCTTCATCTTACAACTATTAACGCCCTAAAGGTCTCTACTTTGGATCTAAGTGCGAATCCCCTATTAACACTAGATCAAAGGCCCAGAAAGCAAAGTATATGAAATATGAAAGGAACAAGTGAAGAACTGACCTTCGAATATTTGAAGAAACGGAAGAACACTTGAACAAACACCTCAGAGACTCTCTCTAGAAATTTCAGCAGCACTTCGTGGGCACAGATTGCAAATGAGGTTACCGCGTCGGAAGGGGAGGGGTATTTATAGACCTCCTCTCCTACGGTCACTACACGTGGCACCATATCAGTGGCCACCTCAGCGGTCACCTTCCCAGCAGCCAATGAGGTGCCACCCCTTCGGAAATGGGCCGGGCTCGTGAACTAACCTACCGGCGGAGTAAAACCCTACGGATCACACGGACAACGAACGCCCACAACGGCCTATACGCTTGTCGGCTTCACAAATGCCAGCAAAGCGCCCACCACGGCCTATACGCTTGCCGGCTTCACAATGCCAGAGGAACAAAGAACCCGCAGCCATCGGCCTTCGTAACGACCCCTGATGATAACTCTTTACAAGCGATCTGCGCACAAGGGTTCTCCCACAGGGTTACCTTGGTCAGAAAATCGCCATAAGGGTTGGATTCAGGGGCACTACGGAGAGGCCGCGTCGGCCAGGGACTCAAGCAACTCCTTCACCCCTCACACTCTTCGGCCTGAAGCAGTGGGGGACTGGGGGACTACATCGGCCTCAAAAATACAGACAAAGGAAAAATGCAAAGAACACAAATGTAACCACAAAGCATGGCCACATCGTCCATGTATCACAACGACGCCAAGGTTTTCGTGACTCCATCTCCGGCCAGGTACTTTGGACAACACGGCGCCTCGTCGGCCAAAGGCACATAACACCATCAGCAACGGCCAACAGGCCACCTAAGGCAAGGACATTCATCGTCCTCCGCCAACAGTTAATCATAATGGGCTCTTCGGCCAAGAACACGAAAGCCAATCAGCGACGGCCAAGAGGAGTGCGCAAGCACCCTCATCAGCCACCCAAAGGAAAGGACGCCCATCGTCCTCGAAGCAAGGTTCAACCTCAACGGCCTCATCGGCCCAAATGTAAATCTCAACCATCAACGTCCAAGAAAGGGAAAACGCGCCATCAACGACCACCATCGAAGCAGGACATTCATCGTCCCCAAACGAACACACCAAGGAAACAACAGCCTCCCCGTCCACAGCGAGGAGCAGGTAACGGCCAAGCACAAAACAAGATCACCAAAATGGAAACAGCGTCAACGCCGCAACAGCTAACGGCCTGGGAGTGCCCGCATCGGCCAAAAGCACCAAAGCACGGGAATCTACTCTCCTTCACTTCGTCTACGTCTCAACTTAGAGAGTGGGGGACTCCTGATGGAGTATATGGGTCTGAGCCCCAGGACTGACATACTCAGAAGAACAGAAAGCACAAGACACTGAGTGGTGCCCTCGTCGGCCAAGGGACCCCCGTCGGCCGGAAAGGTACCAACTCAGAATATGGTCCTGAAGCCAAGGAACCCGGGTGCCCTCGTCGGCCGTGCCCTCGTCGGCCGTGCCCTCTTCGGCCGTGCCCTCGTCGGCCACGGGAGACCCACAGAACCGGATTTTACACTTACTCATTTGTACAGCCCATTAGTGGCTTTGTATTCGGCCCAATAGCGGTCCAGTTGTAAATGGGCCTCCCAAGCCCAAGACTTGGGAGCCCAGCTCGTATTTTCCCTATAAATACTTTCTCTGGAGGTAGTTATCAGAGTTACAAAATCATTCTATTGAAGCATATATTGCACTTCTCTCTCTAGCTCTCACTTCTCTCTAGAGATATACTCTATCAATACATATATTATAATATCTATTTAATAATATATAATAATAATTAATTAATATTAATATATTAACATATACTACCTCTGTCCCTTAAAACTTTGCCAAAGTTGACCGACACGAAGAATAATAAAGTAAAAACTGAGGAAAATCGCATATATGGTCCCTCAGTTATCCACGAAATTAAAATCTTAGATCTATATTTCTGAGATTGTAAATGTCACCCCCAATTGTCCAAATTGTTGTAAATGTGGTCCTTTAAGTGGTGACATATACTCTCGCCCACATTGTATGTTTCACCACTAAAAAGGACCATATTTACGGCATTTTGGACAATTGAGGGGTGACATTTACAATCTGAGAAATACAGGTCTGAGATTTTAATTTCGTGGATAACTGAGGGACCATATATGCGATTTTCCCTAGAAACTGTGTGGTTGAGATTTGTGCAGAGGAGACAGAAATAACAGAAATCACAAAATAATTGATTAAAAGAGAAAGTGTCAAAGTTTTTTGGGACATCCCAAAAAGGAAATATGGCAAAGTTTTAAGGGACGGACGGAGTACTACGTAACTAGCTACGGAGTAGCATTGTAGCGACTAAGATAGGAGCCCAACCCTAATCCAATTGAACTGCAAAAATAGT